TCCCTCACTCCCTCCCTCACTCCCTCGCTCACTCACTCATTCCCTCGCTCACTCCCTCACTCACTCCCTCCCTCCCTCACTCACTCATTCCTTCACTCACATGCAGGGCCTGCTTCCTGTCCACTGCTGCTGCAGGCAACTGCCTTCAGTTAGCGGAATGTATATTCGTTTACCTTTCCCTCAAGGTGTGGGATGGGGATGGACGATGGCCCTTTCCTGAGCCTGGCCCAGTGCTGCAACTTTGCTCTTGTGTACCCCAAACCCTGAAGGTCAAGGGCACTGCCCTGACAGACGCCCTGCTGCAAAGAGCAGCCTCGGCCTCCCTCAGCTCTCTGCGGTGCCCTCCCGGCACCAGAGAAGATCCTGTCCTGCTCCCCAGCTTCCCAGTACCCGGGCTGAGCCTCTGCCCCGTCCACCCCTCACTGCCCGTCTCACACCGTGGCCTTTGCACCTGCCGAGTCCTCTGCCGGGAGCAGAGGCCCCTTCTTGCTCCAGAGGAGGCTCCCCTGCCCCCGCCCCCACCTGTGAGCTGCTCACAGTGATTCTCTGCGGCACCGTAAGTCCCACTGCACAGGCCACGGTCAGCAGACGGCAACACACTGGCCCCGTCCAAACGTCCTGTCTGTGGCTCCATAGGATGGTCCCCCCGCTCAGTGCTCCTTTCTCTGGCAGACGGGCTAGGCCCAGTCCCCAGACTCATTCCCAGGAGACCACCCGAGCCGTGCTCCCGGGGTCAGCTCGGGGGCTTGTCCTGGGCATGGTTTATCTCAGCAAAAATGAGAACGGTGGGTGCCTGAGGTCGACGCCGGGGATTCCGGGAGTCAGCACGTTTTCCACCAAAGGAAATATTCTGCAGACTCTTCTGAGCATTGCAGAAAAATATTTCATAATGTATTAAAATACTCACATTTCAAGCAGAAAAAGTTACCCAACCACGTGCACCACTGTCTCCGCGCAGAGTACACGACTCGGAAGAGCAGGGCGGGCTGCGGCACCGGCGGGGGCCGCGTGGTTTCTCTTCCCTGTTCTCTGACCTGAGTACGTCTGCACGGCATTCCCCTCCCGACTGCAGGACTGCGAGGCGGCCGCAGGCCCCGGGGTCTCCCGGTTGGTGGACGTCATCTCCAGCGAGTTCATGCAGGCGGACCCCACGGCCAACGCCGAGGAGGAAACATTAGCTGAGCCTGAGATCTCTGGGCTTTGGAACGAAGACCACAGGCCGCACCAGGTACCACCTCCTGCTCCGTCAGACGCCTGCAGTGGGGGGGCCCCCGGACTCTGTTGGCGGCTCCCCACCTCCAAGCCCGACCCTCCCACACCAGTGCTAGAGGCCTCTCCCGGCTGTGCCTGCGTCTCCCACCGCCCCCCAGCACGTCGACGCCCCCACCTTCCTCTCCACACTCAGGCCTCTCCCCCTTCGCGGAGCCTGGAGGGACCCCAAACTCCCAGACAGCAGCAGGGTCACAGCGATGTGAGGGGAGGCATGTGGGGCTCCCAGGCTGAGGGAATCTCTGAGCTACCCTGCGCACTACAGAAGAAGCAGCTTTCTAGAAAAAGTGAGCAAACTGTGACGGCCCGTGTAAGAAACACGCCCCATCCAGCACCAGGGTCCTGCGGCCTCTGAAAGAGCGAGAGTCAGTCCCCGCAGCGTGGCCCGGGCTGTGGCCCTGTCCCATGTGGGGGGGCAATGCCCACCCCCCAGTTCCTGTAAGCACTGGCCACCTCTGCTGTCCGGGCAAAGCCACCTGGCTCTGCTGGTTCTGGGGATGCCGGGCTGACCAGGGCCGCGAACAACAGGCCAGCCAGAGCCACCACCCACACTCAGGACCCCAAGGAAGAAGGATAAGAGGAGGGTCCCCAGCAGCACCCCCAGGAAGCCAGGGAGGAGGCCGTCCAGTGGCCAGGCACGGGCACCAGCAGGGGTGGCCCAGAGCAGAGCCCACGAGGCTTCCAGCACTGAGCCGGTTCTGCTTCTCCTGGTTGCTGGTGTTGGCCAGGGAAGTGGCTTTTCATCTTGAAAAAGACGTTTGTGCCGATGCCGCCCGCTATAGAAAACTGCTTCCTTGTCCTGATTTAACAACCTGGAGGCCGGGCGTGGCGGCGCACGCCTGTAATCCCAGCACTTTGGGAGGCCAAGGCAGGCAGATCATGAGGTCAAGAGATCGAGACCATCCTGGCCAACACGGTGAAACATCGTCCGTCTCTACTGCAAATACAAAAATTAGCCGGGCGTGGTGGCGTACGCCTGTAGTCCCAGCTACTCAGGAGGCTGAGGCAGGAGAATCGCTTGAACCTGGGAGGCAGGGGTTGCAGGGACCCAAGACGGCACCACTGCACTCCAGCCTGGCAGCAGAGCGACACCCCCTAAAAAAAAAAAAAAAAGCAATCTGGAAAGCTCCCCCTCCACGTCATTTCCCAGATCCGCCTGAACCTGGAAGGGTCTGCTTTGCTTGGTTTCCCTCATCTGGAAGTGAGGGCTCCCTGTCTTGTCAATGGAGCAGAAAGTCAGTTGGTCCCTCGGGGCCTACCTGAGCAACTCCCGGGGCTGGGGGCTGTTCCCAGCTCCCAGCTGGTGGCGGCTGGCGGGGCTGGGCTGTCTGCTCTGCGGACTGCTGCCGGCACTGCCCAGGTGGAGCCGCTGACAGGCCCAGCCTCTGTCTCTGTGACCCCAGGTGCCCAAGGAGGACGTGGACCGAAAGCCCGTAGGGGGGACGAAGATGGACAAGGACATCTTGGCGCGCACAGTGGCTCGGCTGCGGAGCAGGGTGGTCCAGAAGCAGGTGGTGTTGGGGCGTGAGTTCCAAGGACGCCCCTTCAACAGCAAGCCAGAGCTCCTCCACTTCAAGGTGAGCCCATGGCGGGGCTAGGCAGCAGCGCGGGTCAGCGAGGGAGCCCCGGCCTCACCCCTGGCATCTTCTGCTTGTTAACCCTGGAAAACCCAGGGGCTTCCTCAGAAGGTGCAGACCAATCTCAGCCCTTCTCTCTGAGGAGGCGGAGGGAGAGGGTCCCGTCTCCATGGGGGGCTGGACGCCAGACCGAGGGGTAAATCCTGGGCAATGGGGGTGCTGTGGCCCCGAAAGACCTGTGCCACTTGGGACAGGATGTAGTGGGGCAGGGTGGGGACACGTGATGCTGAGGTTGGTGCCTCTATGCCTCCGCCAAACTCTGCAAGACAGAGCGGCCCATGAGCTCCTGTGTTTTACCCCAGCTCAGGCCCATCCATGGAGTCAGGGGCCCACCCTGGAGCTGCCATGTTGGAGCCTTGCCTCTCACTGTCACCCACATGGCCCCAGCAAGGCCCATCCTGCCTCAAGTGGCAGAGGCTCTCCTGAGACAGGTTCCCACACCCTGTTCTTCGTGCACCCCAGGGGCCTCCCCGACTCTGGGGAAAACCCTCGGGAACTGTCCCCTGGGAACCTCTCCTGGGCTGGCAAACCCTCACCAGTGGTTACCCTGAGGCAAAGCCTCCTGGCGCTCACCGCACGGGCCCCTCTGACCCGCTCTGAAGCTGCCGCCTCGGCCTTTCCCCAGGACTTTGATGTTGGCAAAGTGTACAAGAAAAAGATCACTCTGGTGAACGCCACCTACACAATCAACTACTGCAAGCTGGTGGGCGTGGAGGAGCACCTCCGGGACTTCATCCACGTAGAGTAAGGGGACGGCTCAGACAGGGAGGGCCGAGGGGCAGGGACAGCAGGGGGTCCAGAGCTCCCTTCATGCTCAGAATGGCCAGAACAGGCTCTGTCTGGGCATAAGCCCTCAGGTCCGACTTTCACGAAGATTTTGTAGAGGGGCTCCTCTGTCTTCTTGTGTCAAAGTCATCTATACCAACCCCATTTCCCTTCACGAATGGCGGAAGTTTTTGCCTGGCTGCCCGAGTTTCCTTTTGTCTTTGTTTGTTTTGTTGTTGTTTGAGACAGAGTCTCACCCTGTCACCAGGCTGGAGTGCAATGGTGTGACCTCAGTTCACTGCAACCTCCACGTCCTGGGTTCAAGAGATCCTCCTGCCTCAGCCTCCCCAGTTGCTGGGGTTATTGGCACACACCACCACTCCCAGCCAATTTTGTATTTTTAGTAGACACAGGGTTTCACCATGTTGCCCAGGCGGGTCTCAAACTCCTAACCTCAGGTGATCCACCTGTCTTGGCCTCCCACAAAGTGCTGGGATGACAGGCATGAGCCATGGCACCCAGCCAGAGTTGCCTTTTGTATTGCTATGTTTTGATGTCGACCATTCTGATAACTTTCCCTGGAAATTAGCTAGTCTGCTCAGCGTCGGGGTTAAAGCTGTCTTCACGTCAGCACTCTTCCTTGAATTATGGGTGTCTGCTTTTACTCTGTAACAACATCTCTGTTTTTCGCTTGCAGACTCCACTTACGTGTATGTTGGATCCTCTTTGCTGGTCTTTCTTGTCTGCTGTTTTCCTTCTGGTTGCCTTTAATGCTTTCTGCCTTCTTTTTCTTTCCTTCCTTTTTTTTTTTGTTTTGTTTCTTTTATTTTTTGAGATGGAGTCTCACTCTGTCACCCAGGCTGGAGTGCAGTGATGCCATCTCAGCTCACTGCAACCTCCACCTCCCGAGCTCAAGGGATTCTCCTGCCTCAGCCTCCCAAGTAGCTGGGCTTACAGGCGCCCACCACCACGCTCGGCTAATATTTGTATTTTTACTAGAAATGGGGCTTCACCATGTTGGCCAGGCTGGTCTCGATCTCTTGACCTTGTGATCCGCCTGTCTCAGCCTCCCAAAGTGCTGGGATTATAGGTGTGAGCCACCGCACCGGCCTGGTGTGGCTGATTTTTCTTAGACCTCACTGTGCTCGTGAATCTGAAGATTCAGCTCTTTGAGCAATTTTGAGACCTCCTCAGCCGCAGCTCTCCAGGCGCGGCCCTCCCCGGCACAGTCTCCTGCTGTGTCCTCCTGCACCTCCTCTGAAAGCTTCCCGTCCCGCTGGGAATCTCTCGTCTCTTTTCCACGCTGGGCGGCACTCTGGGTGCCACTTGCCTCCTTCGCTGCTTCTAATCGCTCACTGAGCTTCCTCCTCGGCTGCCCTGGCTCCCGTTTCTGAAAATGTCGAGTCTGTTTCGGATGAGTCGGCATTTCTCGAGTGTCTCGTTCTTTCCTCACGTCTGGAGTTCTCTCCTTCCGTCTCTCCCCATCTTGCTCCTGCCCTCTCATGTCTCCGCTCCACACGTCCGTCATCGGAAGGGTTTGGGGCTCGCCCCCCGCTCTGCCCTGCTGGTTGACTCGAGGCACGGGCGTCCGTCCTCGGATTCTGCTCCTCTCCCCGGCGGGCTCCACCCCGGGCTCTGCGCAGTCCTCGCCAACCCCCTTCCCTCCACCCCGGGCTCTGCGCGGTCCTCGCCAACGCCCTTCCCTCCACCCCGGGCTCTGCGTGGTCCTCGCCAACCCCCTTCCCTCCACCCCGGGCTCTGCGCGGTCCTCGCCAACGCCCTTCCCTCCCGATCGACTGGAGGAGCTTTGGGTTTGCTCCTGCTGGTGCCATGGGAACGTTGCCAGCCAAGGACACACTTTTGTTTGAAATTTTACCTTGTACATTTCTGAAGCAAGCATGTTGGGTAAAATCCAACCTTGTGACATAGGCCTGGCGTCAGGAGTTCTTGGGGAAATGCCCCTTCACCCAGACAGACCAGCTCCCTCCAGTGCCCTAAGCAGTAGGGGCGGTTTTTCTGGTTCTTTCCCTGGAAGGGGCTGAGAGGGTCCTGACTGGCTCAGGGTTCCTAGTTCCAGCTCTCTTCCTGGCTCCTGCCACATTGGTATCAAAGCCCTAGAGCCCTGGTCCAAGGCCGGGCACCTGTGCCCCAGGGAACTGCAGGCTCACTGACCCATCATGTCCCATTTCCTGGCAGTTGGCCCCGGAAACTTGCCTCACACCTTCATTCCTTGACTCACTCACTCCACAAACGTTTGCACACACTTGAGCGTCCCCCACCTGCCGGGCACTAGGGGCAGCAGCAGGGGACGCAGCAGACCCAGCGCTCCCCAGGGGGAAGGCAGCTGCGCAGGGTACAGAGCCAGGAAGGGGAGGAGCCCGGGAGCTCCAGCCTGACTGTGCTCCGGGCGGGGAGGCGAGCATTGGTCCTCTGCCGCTCTGACCCCGGGTGCTATGGGTCTCATCCTGACTGTGCTCCGGGCGGGCGGGGAGGCAGGCATTCACCCTCTGCAGCTCTGACCCCATGTGCTATGGGTCATGTCCCACAGCTTCGACCCCCCTGGCCCCCTGTCAGCCGGAATGTCCTGTGAAGTGCTTGTCACCTTCAAGCCCATGGTGAGTCAAAGGGGCCGTCAGTTCCCTCGAAGGAGAGGTGGTGATGGGTGGAGCCTGCTGCTCCGTGGTGGAGGGAGGATGCTCTTGGCCTCTCCGTGAGGGTCACTCGGATCCCAGTTTTGATGTTTTATTTCCAAAAAGACACCCAACGTATTCCTTTGGTCGGGTAGAACCACAGCACAGCTCCCCTGAGTTAGTAGCTGAGGGTGCGCCCTCTCGGGCCTGAGTCAGGAGGCTGGGATGTTCCAGGAAGCCTGCGGATGTGTGGCCCTCCTGGGCACCCTGGGCCAACTCCTTCCCCAGGCATCTCCCAAGCCTGGCAGGTGGCACGCGGCCTCGGCCCAGGCAGCATTGAGGTAGCCACGGCCTGTGTAACAGGCTAAAGTTACAGAAAGGCCGGGCGTGGTGGCTCATACCTGTGATCCTGGCACTTTGGGAGGCTAAGGCAGGGGGTTGCTTGAGCCCAGGAGTTCGAGACCAGCCTGGACAACATAGCAACACCCCGTCTCTACAAAAAATACAATTAGCCAGGTGTGGTGGTGCATGTCTGTAATCCCAGCTACTGGAGAGGCTGAGGTGGGAGGATCACTGGACCCCAGGTGGGGGTGGGTGGAGGGAGGTTGCAGTGAGCCGAGAAGGTGCCGCTGCACCCCAGACTGGCCAACAGAGCCAGATCCTGTCCAAAAAAAAAAATTACATAAGTTTATGGTAGTTGGGGTTGTTTTATTTTCTTAGATAAACAAAGACCTAGAAGGAAATGTCTCATTTTTGGCTCAGACGGGAGAGTTTTCAGTTCCACTGAAATGTTCAACAAAGAAGTGTTCGGTGAGTTCAAGGATCTCGGAGCCGGCGCTGCCCAGGGCTTCCTGGCTGGGAGCCCCCGTGGGGGACGGCATCTCCTCGGAGGCAGGGGCTAGTGGGGGGCTCCCATCTCCACCAGGGCCCGGAGCCCCTCCGTCCAGCAGCAGCATAGGTGAGCCTGAGCCGGGCCTTGGGTGGGGGTCTCGAACGTGGGGCGCTCGGACCAGCACTGGAAAAGCCAGACCAACCCTGCTGGACGTGGCACCCGGCCTGCAGGCCTGTGGCTCAGAGGAAGCCGCCATGTTCACGTGTGTTGGAAACAGACGCTCGGGGCTGCAGAGACAAAGGATCTTTCAGCAACGTAGTTTTTACTTCCTGGGCTGCAGGAAGGGGACCCTCATTAGCCATCTTGCCACAAGAGTGCAAAGAACAAAGGAGGGCCGGGCGCGGTGGCTCACGCCTGTAATCCCAGCACTTTGGGAGCCCGAGGCGGGTGGATCACGAGGTCAAGAGATCAAGACCATCCTGGTCAACATGGTGAAACCCCGTCTCTACTAAAAATAC